GCCGAAAACGTGGCCACATTAAATTTAAACGTGATCGAAGGGATAACAATTTTCTAGACATGAAATATAATAGTAAAAAATAGTTCGTCAAAATTAATTTGGTAAAGTTCGTAAATAATATTACATTATTGGTCATGATATTATGCATGTATAACATTTTGGATTAAGTGGAAAACACCGATAACAATATGGAAAGAAATAGTGAACATTTAACTTAGTAAATGCATGTTTACTAAGCAATATTTTATTTTTATGGTTCGTAAAAAATATAATTTCATCCTGTGCCGTTGTACAAACAAAGTTAACTGATATAATAGCTTGAAACACGAGTTCGTAAAAACCATTAGATTAGCAGCGGGCCAATATTAGTACAGTGTGACGAGGAGTAATACTTTTATTCAAAACCTACAAAAAGTGTTCTATCAAAAACCATAATAACTATAGTTTGCTTCTTTTGCAGGCACGCTTTCACTAAATTTAATTGATTTTCATTGAAAAACCAATAGGCAGGCCCGATGAAATAATATAATCCCTACGTCCAGTCTTAGAAGAAAAATTGTACAACGATATAGTATTCCTTATTCCAAATCCTCGGGGCCAACATGTTTCCCTTGATGATAAATGTATAGTATTTTGACCAAAGCTAATGGACAAGAAAAATTTCCATAGGAAAACGCTTTAGCGAATACATGTATACTAGCGAGAGCTTTCGCACATATAAGTATATACATTATATTATTTTTTTCCAAAAAACCGACGTCGTGATAGTTTTTTTTTATCGTTACAAGCAAGAAATGGTATTCTGGTGTGTTGTTCTAAAAGTACATAGATTTTAAGTGATATTAAAAATTTCTGAATAATGCCAAGTAGTTAAAAATGTTAATGTCAATGAACATAATAATAATATGGATTCGTGTTAACTTTCTGACAAACACTCGTCTGACGCGACTTGCCTCCCCCCCCCCACTTTGCGCCTTTGCGGCTCGGTGGGAGAGTCAACTGTGTCAAGTCTTGGGTTCCCAGTGGCGGTGGTTGGTAAAAAGTACCTTGTAAACTGTATGCGTTAATAATCGTAAATAAATAATATGTTCCAAATATTATTGTAACCCTACAAAATCTTTTAAATATGTACCATAATTCAATAAATATATTATTAGTTGTATTATTTTTATTTTGCTTTATTACCTAGTTACTTATGTTTCCAAACACCATATTATGTCACAATTACTTTTATTAAAATATAATCATATAATATATTGTAAAACAGAAGAATGGAACTTAAAAATCTAAACATCTCTAAACTAAATTGACAGCAGAGTTAATGTTCAATTATTTTAAATTGACTATATTATACTATACCTATATAGTATATAAGATATAAGAAAAACTTATAACATTTTTCAGGTGCATTTATTTATAGTTGAATATTAGAATGAAACTATAAACCTTTATTCCTTTGGGAGTTAATACATTACTACAATTGAAATTAACGTACCTATAAAATGTTTTAAAAGTATGGGTTAAAAATGTTTTTACGTATTTTTTTTTTTAAGTGGTAAAATTATATGATTATATAGTTAAGTTTGTATAAAATAATTAAAATTGTATCAACTATTCCGAAGCAAATATACGATTGTTAATAATATGTTGAATATTGTTACATTACAGGATAAAAGTAAATAATTACTTTGTCAATCATTTATTATTATAAATATTAGGGAAGTATGAATTTTGTGTGTGAATTATATAAAAGATTTTTGTATAATTGTGTTTATATTTTATTGTGACCTAATTTTCACTATAATGAATGGAGGAATCAAATATCCGATAAACAAAAATGGCATTTCACGTCAATCGAAATTACTCAAGTTTCAAAATCCAATTGACATCTCTACACTAAACGATTTATAACAGAAAACAATGACAATTAACATAATCTCATATGACATTAATAAACTCCAATATTATTCGTTATCCACAAAGATAGAATTCTAAAAACGATATAATATTGTATAAAATGTGTCCCTTATTATTTCAAAATATTTAAAATCAATTAATTCTAATTATTCAAATATTACAAATGTGCTAAAACATATACACAATTATTGGCCAAGAAATTTTCGTGAATACCTACTGGGTATTGTCCAAGAAAATTGAAAAATTACCATTGTGTAATGAATGGAGTGTTTATTTATTTATATAGCTCAACAATGATAATATGTTGGATTTGAAAATCTACAGCTTGCGCTTCCAATGCGCACATCAATAAAATATGAGTAGGTATTTAATATTTTTTACTATTTAAAATACCTACTTTAGTTCATTACATAAATTATAAATAAAATATTTACAATAGTCAAGCTGTACTTTTAAAATATAAAATCTATTGTTGGTGGCATTTCGCTAAAATGTCATCTTGTTAAATGTTTAGTTTTTTTTTTAGTATATTGTACCTTCACATTGTACCCAAAATGTAAAATTATATTGAATTGTATTCGTCGCTTAGTGCTTACATATTAAAATATGCAGTAATGCTATTATAAAGAGGACGTGATATACGCATGTGTTGTCTCCTTCTTACAAGTGTGTAACATAGCAAATTTTACTCTCAGCAGAACACGTGTAGCTCTTTTAGTTTAAAAATTGGAGTGAATTAACCTCCTACAAAATCTAAATTTAGGTAATTATCTAGGCAACTGCATGGTCTTTTAAGATGTACAAACAATTTACAATTTTTAAATACTCATAACTCGCTTTAAAATTAAAATATAATAAAAAGCCCATGGGCTTGCCTAGATAATTACCTAAATTTAGATTTTATAAGAGGTTAATTCACTCTAATTTTTAAATTAACAGAACTCCACATGTTCTGCTGAGCGTAAAATTTAGTATATTATGCACTTGTAAGACGTAGACAAAACATGCTGGTATCACGTCCTCTTAAACTAAATTTTGGAAAAATAGAATAATATGAAACATTATAACTTATATCACTTGATTTATTTTTCCATATTTAAGTATATAACAATGCATATGATACACATATAAGTGTATATTATAAATTTAAATTCAATATTAGTTTTAATAATAACAATTTGAACTTATATTGTTCGTAATTTCGTATGAATATGAATAGTGTAAACATTCATAAACACGTACGTAAATACGGAATTTTCTATCAGTCTAATATATTAGATTCTGAGCGGAGCAATGAATGTATTGATTTTACAATAATGTGTGGGTTTTTATTTCTGTATTTAAACATTTTTTCTAGTAAAAAAATGGTTCGATTTTCAACTTCAGCATATTTTCTAATGGTGAAGTGGATCTAGTTAAGTGGCGAAATTATTGGGGTGTTGAGTGTGAAATTCACAGGGTCCCGAGATATATACGATATTTCTACTATAATATCCTATTTCCTACTATAATATTATACACATCTTATATTATTTGTTTTAATAATATAATAACAATAAATAATAATGTCTTAAGTCTTTATTGATAGAGTTTTCATCGCATATTTATTTTATCATTTTCATTAAAGATACATTGGCACAATTTTTTTTTAATAAGTGTATAGTTTGACAAAATTCCTAAACATTTCATTCGTTTAGTTCTTATTGGTAAGTATTGAAAATTCAAAACAAGGTATCTTATAGGTCGTTCATACAATCACTAAAAATTCTAAAGAAAATATATTAACAGTTTTTTTTATTGCTATTTTCAGTTTAAATTTGAACGAAATTTGATATTTAAACGAAGAATAACGATATCACAGTTATATTGCTGTAATTTAAAAATATTACTATAATATAGGCTAAATAACAGACCGTCTCCTCTCAGAATTGTTTTTCGTATAGGTACCTACAATTATATTATATCACTGAATTCAAAATTAACACCATCCATTACAATGCTCCACTCGTAACCTACTGTTTAGCGGAGCGGTATCCACCCTCTTTTTTTTTAATCTGATTCTGACGACATTTAAATTTAAGTGTTATAATAATTGAGGTGCTCGATTACCCTTAGCATTATAGATACTTATATAATAGTGTCATAAAGAATATTAAAAAAAAAGAGCAGTAAATTGTATATCTAAATCGAAGGCAAATTTTAAAATTAAATATTAAAAATACCCTTACGCACTTATTTCAACTTAGTTTTCATTAAATTCTTAGTAAGCATTGTATAAACATACAAATAAGTTTTTTTTTTAATATAACAGTATGCAATCAGTAATTATTTTATTTACGAATCAGACAATGTTTTATGTAAATTTGTCTGAGTTTTGAACTGTGTTTTTGCATTACAACATTGACTCAGAAAATAATAACAGCCAATCTACTTTTAATTTCGTTAAAATGAATTTTATGTTTGTTATTTGTGTTAGATTATTATTGTTCAGACAAAAAATATAAATAACTAATTATTAAAGGATAACATCGGTAAAAAAATTATTATTGACAGGATTTGTGAGTTGGGTCAGGTTAGGATTGGCGATGCAGAGGTTAATGACAATCATGAGGATGCAATTAAGCTTAATTAAAAAATTTTAGTAAGAATCAGTGTCAAAATATTGAATGGCTTAAACTTTATAAGAACGAAAACAAATAAAGAATCTGGGGATCGGTAAAAATTAAACCTTAATATTTAAGCCTATAAACCCATTCGTTCTTACCCCTTTAAATTATATACCTATATTTTAAAGTACGTCCAAATGAGATCCCCAAAGACTTTAATTTACCGCAGCATTTAACCAAACGGAGGACATAAATTTCAAAACTTCGGTGTGACGCAACAATAACACAACCTAAAATAACAACAATAAAATGGTGTCGAACGATGCCGAGCTCGAGGGATTTATAATTTAACATGTAATCAAATTCCGGCTACGTTTTACAACCGTAATTATTATTATAATAAGATATACCTACACTTGCGCTCAATAAATATAGTTACCTATCCTATATAATATAAATATACCCCAAATAGCGTGTTTACGGATGCAAATCGGTTGAGTAAGAACTTACCTGGGTGTAGGTCATCCAGCAACAGGGTTCCACTTGGTTCGCGTCCAGACCCCAAAACTCCAATTCCTCTTCGAACAACGGCCCGCAAACATCCGTCGGGTAATGAAGTTTACCCGTCCTGTAAGACAAAATAATGCTGTTATACGAAGTTCAAACTTCAAATGCATGCTGAGTTGCTGAATAATTTATGGAACTGTAATGGATATAGGTAATCACAATGAAACGTTCGATAGTATAATATGTACTGGAAGTAAATTTATGGACTACGATAGTTCACGAGTACATTAGGTATATGCTAACATGTTACAAAACAATAGGTACTCTTAAAAATATTAATTCCAGAGCAATCATGTAGCCACATAAATTTATCATGCTGTATAATATACCTGCACACCCGTCCACTGCTGACACCCTTTTATCCATGGCCCTTTTACTCCTTTTGAAGCTCGTCACTACGCCTGCTGCCTCGATCTTCTCCTAGTCGTCCTTCTCTATACCACGATCTTATGCACCACCCTACCCGGTTTAACGTCCCCTTTGTCGTCAGGGTCCGTGGGTGTGGATGGTAAATTCATTTCGTACTCCCTATATCAGTGTACACACACACACACACACACACACACACACACACACACACACACACACACACACACACACACACACACACACACAACGCACGCACGCACGTGAATATAATATATTATATTGTATATCACGTGCGATGGTGCTCTGACGGAACAACCGCAAAACTGCAGGTCTCAGCTGCTGGCTTTGCCTGTATAATATTATATATACGACACACGCATATCATATAAGACGACGTTGCAACGCATTCCGATCCCCTATCCACGCCACACCGCATTCTGGAAATTATTATAAATTTTACCCGGATTAGAGAGATTAAAGAGAAAGAAGGGTATACCTACCTACAAATATATACACTATGCATATTATAGAGGAGACAACCTTAATTTTATTACAATATGAACTACTACATTTTGAAATTTGGTATGTATATTTTGAAGAAAATGTTACCAGATTTCTCTTTAAACTACAGCTAAACATTTATTCTAACAAGTACGTAACGTAATAAAAATAAAAATTTCATTATCCATACATTATTATTAATACACCTACCACGTATAATTTTTACATTTTTAGTACGAAACATAATAATAATATTCACACCAAAACACTAAATTTCCTAAAACCGTGTAATATTTTTTAATATGTACTGTGTTTATCGTTTATATGTTTGCCTTTGTTATGATTTGATGTCATAATATTAACAGTATATTATTATTTATTACAATATACCTACTAATTTATAGTTTTTAGACATTGATTGTCAATCTAAATGTATCAAAAATACGTTTCTAGTATTTATCAGCTAATAAAAACTTTAGTATAAAAATATACAAGTTTTAAATGATTTAAATAATATATTTAACAAATTAATAATTTTCCGTTCGAAAATATTTTGGCCTAGTAGTGCAAGTTCTCAGATTTTTATTTTTTTTAGACTGATCTGGTGGCTTTCGTAACAATTAAATACATCCGCTACAGAAAATACTCACTCTGTACATGAAACGTAGCTTGTATAATATAATGTAGATACCCACATAATATTATGTTATTTCTAGTTAAATAAAAAAAGAATTATGTATATTGTATACCTATACATTTTTATTTTTAAGCGAGTACAATATTCATAATAATATGACTTAATATAATTTTAAATTTAAGGTTTCATAAATAAATAAACTGATGTACAAATTTCATATCAAAAATATACAATAACTGTGCTGTACTCTACATAAACCTGTATACATTTCAGTATGAAAAAACAATGTTAAAAATTGGATTTGGTGAACTCAAAAACATACAGATCACAGGGCCAAAAACATAATTCTTTAGGTTAATTTATTTATGTTAAATACCATGGTAAACATTTTGTTCAGCCAAAATTATCTATCAGGCCATTAAGCGCGATGAGTCACAGCTGAGTCGTGTTGAATCCAGCAGTCACGGTAGGTATTCGCGGGGTCGTTCAAAATTCACAACGAAAATAAAAATGTATAAAAAAACTTCTTATACTGCGTTGGTACTGGAGAAATAGGGTGTACGCACGGAGATATGCGAAACTCGAATAGCTATTATCTGTTTGTTTTATTATTTTTCCTCATATAGCCATACCTATTCAAAATGCCATTATTATAATATTGTACCTAACAGAGATACAGACCGGTGATTTATGCATTTATACTTCAATACACTAGCATGATATATTTTATTTATATTATCACACCGTCATCAGTTTTCTGTATTTGCCCGAGTATCGAAAAGTTTCTGTGCATAATATTCCATTTCGTTATTTTTGGATTTTAAGGATTGAAATAAACTATAATGCAAGTGAAAAACTGATTTAAAATCATCCGCCACATCGATATTATGCACTAAGACGATTTTATCAAGATGGGTAATATTAACATAATATAACATAGCCATTAGGTACTCGTGGTAGGTAATTACTAATTACTAACTCGTAAGTCATGATCGTTCAAAAATTCATAAAAAATTAAACTGTTCCAATAAAATGTTAAGACAACGTATTATATGTTCAGATCCTGAAAGTTTAGTTATTTTATTTATCTGGCTTTGCATCAAAAAATGCATGATCCTCCCATATTTTTGAGAACCAGGATTTGTGATTTTGCTCAGAATACTGTGTCAACAACCGTTGATCCATTCTTATCTCGGGATTCGTTTCTATTATCTCAACACGCACACTTTTGAATAATCACTGTTGGTTGGATATCAATTTTAATAGCAGAAATAGCACACTGTAATAAACCAACACTTAACCCTATAATAATAAAAATGTTTCATTATTTATTTAGGTATTCTTTTTTCAGGCTTCATTCTTTCATTTTAAAAATAAACGCCTTGCGTTATTTATTCGAAATGAAAGCTGTTTTTTAATTAGAGTTAATGGTCTATATCATATTGTAACGTGATACATAATACAGGGTGGGCCGCCGTATAAAGGTCAAGGTCAATTATATTTATGGTTTGAGTGTTAATTCATACAGCCGTTTACAATAGTCCACTATGACTTAATGCATTTAAGAAATTAATTATATTATATAATTTATTGTATATAAACATTTTTACGTGTACATACAAATATTTTGTAAGTGTAATAAATGATTTAAAAACCTAACAGTTCATGATACTTTTACTTTAGGACCATATGTAGGTAGCAAATAAAAATTATAATAATAACAGTCATTACGAATTTCCACTACAAATATTTTTATATTAATAGACTTTATGTAAGTATTTTTTAAATTCAATTGACTTTACCGACATATTTAAAAAAAATGTATAAAATAAGTGTATTTCGAATAACTGATACGGATAAAACAATAATATATATAATATAATAATGCATTGATATACATACAGTACCATCATTTAAACACAATGCTTAACACCGCAACTTGCACATGAATAGTTAGTTCGTGTATTTAGAATGCACAGAATCGAGTTTGTACATACCTAGTAATAATACTTGTGCTGAAGATTAACAAGTCCACAGTACAGATAAAAACAGGAGTAGGTACCTATTATTAGTTTGTATAATATATAAATAATTTATATTGTTATGTCTTAAAATTTTAATTTTTCATAGTTTGAATAAAACGATTCTATATACCTACATATAGCATTAAATATACATTTTTTGTAGGTCATGATAATGGGTTCGTGGTTATTTATACTATACCATATGGAAATATGAAACAACGCTTGTGGTTAATCTTTGATGAAACAATAATTGTATGAGGATGTAGTAGAAAAGTTGCTCTGCTTGTGTTTGCATTGTTATCACTATATGTATAATAATAATAATGAATCATATCACCGTACAGCTGGCATAATATTAAACAGTTAATGTACTTAAATTTACTGAGCTAAATTAACAACTGACATAACATTTGATTTATGTTAAAAATTCCTTGAAAAAATAATTTAGTTAATGTTTTTTAAATATATATTTAACAATAAAATAATTTTTGCTTAATTGGAAGTATATTATTATACGTATATAATTTTAATTTTAAGAATACTTCTAAGCGACTATTATTTTTTGTATAATATTATTCTATTTATATAATTAAATTTTCTATTTATAAAGCATATCAAAGTTAAAAAAAAAACCCCTTCATTATTCTGTTTCTTCTTCTATCTCTCTAATTTTCATATATAAATATTATATATAATAACTTACATAATATATTATATACCTGTGCTGCCGTCATAAGCGAAAACGCCGTAGGTCACCCGAGGACGATTTTGAGAAAAACAAGTTTTTGTGTTTTATATATTCATAAAATTTAACACCTTTGTTACATTCTAATTATTTAAATATGATATATGTTTTCCTATGTAATTTTACCCACCGGATGCAATGAAACAATAATAAATATGATTAAATTAATTTTAAACAAGATATTTTACTTTTTACGTTGTAAATTAGTATTAAACTTTTGATACATTATTCAAAAGCAAGAATCCCGTAACTCGTAAGTAACACATTCTGAAATGATAAAACTATTTATACATTTTAATAGTACCTAAATTCACAAAACAAATATATTATTTTTCAGTCAATTTATAAACGGCATATTCATCTACACAAGCAAAATTTTACAATAATTTATTTGTTTTTACTCATTTTTATTTTTTTGGGGACTTACTGCGTTTTTGCTTATCACGGCAGTTTTGCAATACGTAAACTGGTCCTTGTTACTAGGCCAAAATGCTGTTAATCATAATTTGTACTAGGTATGTACTAAGATAAAATGCCGTATCTTCAACAATACTTACGGCGTTAGTGCTTAGTAAAGTGTATTTGCGGCGTTTTTACCTAGTAACCACGAATTTTTCTACGATTTACAGCGTTTTAGTTATTTAATTATAGCTTGTGTTATACTTTTGGAGTAATATTTCAGACATACGGCATATTCATCTACACAAGCAAAATTGTACAATGATTTATTTGTTTTTAACTCATTTTTATTTTTTTTGGGACTTACTGCGTTTTTGCTTATCACG